AATTTGAACTTATTTTTTTGTTTATTTATTTAATATTCGAGTTGATTTGACTCATTTATTAGACAATTATAAACTTAAACATGAGTTATTCAACTTGACTCAGCACGAAATATTTTTCGAGGAGATTATATAGTTTTTAATATATCTCTCTATCTCACACACACACAACGTAAAATTGCATTTTAAAATTATTAAAATAATTAATAAGTTGCACTACAAAAGACATTCTTAATTTTAGTAGTTTAAATACTCAACATTCTTTACATTGATGAAACTCAATAATGATTGGCACAATATTATCACAAATGCTATAATTAATAGGTTGTCTAATTGGTAGATATGTATATTTTCCTGTAAACAAATGCATTGTTATATTATGAAATGTCATACTTTTATTTGTATTGCACTATAAAGTATGTCATTTAAGAATGAAAGTATAAATATATTTGTTGGAAAATGGTGGCTGTTTAACTATTAAGTAGCTACGAGAAGGCCTACCGCGGTATTAATAGTTCTAACAATTCTATTTCGAACTATTAAATTACATATGTTGTATGTTCTTCTATTCCAAATTTACTCTTTATTTTTTTAATTGTACATAAGATCAAACACAAAATATTATAAAACAATATTGATAGTGTACTTATAAAAATATTATAGAAATAAAAATAATTAATAAATAGACTTGTACAAATGGGAATGCATATAAATTAAATATTTTTTATATAAGTTTAATATCTCTATATATATATTAAAAAATAAAATGTCTTAGAAAATATGTACATACATATGTATATGGCAAAACCAAAAGCTTGGGGGGACAATGGCCCCCCTAAATATAAAGTGAATCCGTCCTGTGGCCATGGCCACACACTTCACACATAACAAATTAAAGTTGATGCGAGTGTAAAATGATTGATTAGTATTATTTAAATATATTGATAATATCGAAGATAGAGGATACTCCTATGAGTTAAATTTTGAGTATTCTTGAGTATGAATTAAATATTACTTATTTTTGTGATCACTATATAATACCGAACGACTTATTTTATTTTAAAATTAGTTGTTAATACATTAAATATTGTTATTATTTTAATAGCGTAATCAATTTTTTTTTTTTCTTTCTGATACATATAATGTAAAATATTTGTTATACAATAATATTTTTTTATTTTATTAATGTAATTTAAATAAAATCATGTAAATATATTAAAAATAAAGTGTTGAACAT